ATCCAGAACATGAAGTTTCTTTTTGGAGTGAAGAAAATGTTCTAGAAATAGTGGCGATGGTTGCACAGGATTGTGAATATACTAATAAACTACCAGACTTGATACTTTAAAATGGTTAAAGTGTAAATTTATGTAGTGAATTTTTATCACAGTTTAAAAAGTACAATCACATCTATATAAAAGTAAACAGAATTTACAACATAAAGATACAGGTTTATAAATGCCAGTAAAAGTACAATTTATAAAATATAGGCATGATGCTCTTGATGGACATCTAAGAGTGAATTTTCTAAGAATGTTTCAAAAGCACATTTGTAAATCTGTGTTTTGGAACTGGAAAATGTTATGGTGGTTCCAGTATCACTGAGTTTTGGGGATAGGGCAGGAATGATTATATTCAAATGCTAGAAAATAATGTCTACACCTTGTTCTTTAATAGAAAACTAAAAGCCTTCTGTTTGTTCCCCATATTTTATTTTCAAGGTTGTTTTATCACTGGCATTCAAGCCTGATTGAGTATTAAATGACATCAATATTTGTTAGCTCTTGTTTTAATCTTACTTAAATATATTGTAATTTTGAGACTTCTTGATCAAAAACTTGTATTTTGATTACTACGAGAACATTATTTTAGTAGATGGAATATATATAGTTTTATTATTTTTATACACAGTTTTTTAACGCTCATTATATTTGGCTTCTTCCATGACATTATTGCCCATATTAATTCAAAGTTTTTTGTTACCATCTTAATACAATGAAATTCCTAAAAATTATTTTAAAAATTTGAAAAATCATGTAAATTTAATGTTACTTTTGGTAACATATCTAAACTTTTTTCTTAATTGAAATAAAATACATTGAGCTTCATGTATATTTAGAAAATCCCTCTAAAAATACCTGCAAAATACTAAGATCTATGGTTTTCTTCTGAATAGATTCATTATTGATGCTAAACTACACATTTTATTTTTCTTATTTTTCCAACAGAGTTATTGTTAGCTAAAGGAGTGATATATGAAAAATGCAGTGTGTAAATTGTAAAGTTCAACAAAGAATATCTACGTATTCTTTTTTTTTTAATTAAGCCTGTTTTGTTCATTTAGATGTTATGTTATCAAAACAGGGGAAAACATGCTACTTATCATTCACTTGTGCATTAATTGATTTTATACATTGGCAATCCTCATCTTGGGCAAAACATACTTTTTTCTGTTTCTTTTTTTGTGATTGTCTTTTCCAACTAAATATCCTTTCAAAAAGAGTAAAGAACATTTTGCATGTTTGTTTTAAAATTTAATGTCTGGTGGTATTTATATTTTAAGAAGTCTTTGTTTCTGCACAGGGTTACGTAACTACTGTAGCGTATATAAACAATATGTGTTTTCTTTTTCTTACAGATTCTACAAAGAAATTAAAAGATGTTCTTGAAGAATTCCATGGTAATGGTGTGCTTGCAAAGTATAATCCTGAAGGGGTAAAACTTCTTTTTTTCTTTATATGTTTTATATAGATGTTTGGAGGAGAGATTTTTTTTTTAAACAACAATTTCTTAGAAATATATATTCATAAATGAAATGAAATTGATAATGAAATGCTATTCTGGAAGATACATGAATGGTGTACTGCTTTTTTCATCCAAAAAACATTTTGCTGATGAAGATAACATTTTTATATTGTGTGCTTGAAAGAATAGGGATCATCTATAGTCTATGTTAGGTTATTTTCCTAGAAGTCAGGACATAGGACTAGGTAGAAGGGGAAAGTTTGCCTGACTGTCACTCTATGACCTGCATATATTCACCCCAAACAAACATCAGTATGGGGCAAGGGAAGTATTCCCTTGACTGAAGAAAGAGTCTGTGATGGATACAATTGGTCTATTACTTTAAAGAGGAGTTTAAATAAAACGAAAGGAATTTCTACTCCCTATCTTGTTTTAGCCCGTTACCAGTAAGCTTATGAGTTCATGAAATTTTCTCCCTGTAAAAAGTTGATGTCTTGTCAATTGCTGTGGAACACCATTCTTGAACAAATGAACACCATGAACACCGTGCCTTTTCCTTCTTAAGTATTTGGTAAATTACCTTGTGTTTCATGTTACCTGAGAGATGTTACATATTAAATGCTTGATCATCATCGCTGTGATCTTTTGCAGCCTCACCAAATGGTAGTTAGGTTGTATGGGATTTCAAACAAACTGCCCTTTGCAGTTTTGCCTGGATATTTCATCTAGCCATCTAGGTAGATTTGTTTGCTGATTAAAATGTGGTTTTTTTTTTTTTTGTTATCATTGTCATTGCGGTTTTGAATGTTTGCAAAAGCACAGTTCTTGATTATCCTTAATATTTTATTTCTCTGGGAGCTATAGAAATTATATTTTAGTCAAAACCCAAACTCTAAATTTCGACCTCAAAACTTTCATATTGCTCTATAATTTCCTTTTAGTATTTCCAATACTATTTTTATTCCAATAATTATTAATTTTCATGCTATAGTTTTTAAATTCTTTTTATACTGTGATACATAACTATACTTAAAAAAATTCTTTAACCTAAAATTTATTTTCTTTCTTAAAAATAAAGTTAAAAGTTTAGTGCCTGCAAATGATGTGGAAAAATAGACAATTTAAAGCCATACACATTTGCCTGTATCAGGGGCAAGATACAGGCAGGTGGCCTACATTATTCCTCACATTTTATTTTCCTAGGTGCTATAGAGTGAGGGAAAAAAATGTTGGCAGATAAATTTGTAGAACTGAAAATCTCAAAGACCAAGAAAGCAGAGTTGGAAAGGTAAAGGTGACAACTTTACGGAATTACTTTAAGACCCAAAAATGTCATTAATGTCTACATTCCCAGTCCCAGTTGAAAACATGCATGTTATCTAATTTACATACAGAAAGGAAACCAGTTTTTTCTCCCTAAAGATAGCCATTGGCTATAAATTCAATTGAAATGTGATCTTGTTTGCAAAGTAGACTTTTTGCTTCAATTATTTCTTATTTAAAGGACTCTCAAGACTTAGTCTTACTGATGTTCTATATTTCATGAGGATTGCCAGTCACTGTATTCTGGATTTATTGAGGTAATTACTAGATTCATTATAAGACATACATATGATGTCAGCCTTCAGTAATGTTGTACTTCTCCATAAATGCACAGATCTGCTCTTGAAATGAACTATCAAAATAATGAACAGCTGAAAAACAAATGTTAGATCTCATGACCCCAAAATATTTCTAATTTAAGAGTGAAACCACTCTTTCACCTTGAAGCTGATAGGTATTTTCCCTTCAAGTGAAAAATTTAAAGTTTACGCGCTTCTCTTGAGCACTAGTATATATTTTACAAAAGCCAATAGGAATAATTAGGAATAGTCATTGCTGAGAAAGAAATCTTTAAGGCCTTGAGATTCTCTTCAGTACATGTCTCCATGAAGTTTACAGAAAGTTACTCTAATAGTATGAACGCATTCATACTGTCCACTCACGTGTGAAGTCATCACTTCTATTGACTGGTTAAGTTTAGCCTAAAGTAGGCATAGATGACTACCTAATTGATGTTCAAATATATAAGAAAAACTACAAAAGTGAGTAATCTAGTCTGCTTTTAGAATAAATCACTAACACTTTATTTTCTAAAACGAACATGGCTGTGTCATCCATATAAAATGTATTTGCAAAGAGAGAACAACTTAAGTAGCTCTTAAATTTGCTTCTCCCCTTTACAGAGTAAAGCTGCTTAAATGTTAGATGCATTATTTTACTTATCATTCACTTGAACTATTGAATTATAAAAGCTCTGTGCATTAAAAACTTAATCCAATGAAAATGTTTATTTGAAGAGAGAGTATCTGTGAAGTATAATATATGGATGAATCATTTGTTTTTAATTCCTGTTCCTATTTTAAAGATCATTTGGCAATCATTCTTTGAGGAAATAAATAACAGAATCAGAAGGTGTAAATTTAAACAAGTGACTTTAAAGATTCTTTAAGAATAAAAACTTAGGAAAGGCCTTGAAACAAATATGATTATAACATTTTTAAATAAAGAAACTCATTTTAAGAAAAGTAACATGACTTTCCCAAGATTAACCAACTCGATTTAGGACAATAACCATACTTAAAATCTGGATGCTTGGAATCCCAGTTTAAGACCTTTCCACTTCACTTAACTGACTAGGCCATTAGAATGAGAGGGAAGGTCTTAGATGAGAAGGATAAGGGGGAGTGAAAGGTATTTCACATACTTGAGTGGCGTTGCTTATGTAGTGAGTGTGGCATATTCCAGGGAACATAAGTGTGACTGACTCACGCCTAACAAGGTAAGAGACTCCCGTTAGTCTCCGACTAACCGTGTGTGAATAAAACAAAGGCTACGATTAAAGGTAAGTTGTAGTAGCCGGCCAGTCCTAGTGAGAAATTTACAGTAAAACACAGAACATCTCAGATACTATTTCATTGACATCTAAAGAGATGGAAAGAAATTAAGTAGTGGCACATGTGTGGAAAGATATTTATCTTCAAAGGGATGGAAAGAGGCTAGGGATGTTATTCCAATAGAAGGAAACAGCAATGGGGAATAAGTATAATCTATTTTTATACATATTATATCTTTATCTTCTCTGGAAAGTTTTAATCATACTGTATGCGTTTTTCATTATATTTATCTCATGTCAGTTAGAACTGTTTGCTTCTTACATTCTAAGATTGATCTAGTCAGGGATTCTCAAGTTTTAGCTTGCAGCAGAATCACGTGGGGGTCTTTTTAAAGCAGAGATTGTTGGGGTGGAGGGGATAGCTCGGTGGCAGAGCACGTGCTCAGTAGGCATGAGGTCCTGGGTTCAATCCCCAGTCCCTCCATTAAAAAAAATTAATTAATAAATAAACCTAACACAGAGATTGTTGCCTTCCCCCTCGCCCTTTAGTTTCTGTGTTTCCACGGTGGGGCTCAAAAATCTATATTTCTATAAATTTCCCAGCTGATGTGAAGCTGCTAGTTTGGAACCACATTTTTGAGACCCGTGTAGCTAGGGGATGTTTTAAAATCAATCTGTAACTTGACTTTTTAGTTAAATTATCAGCAATACGAGATAATGAGTATAAATTCTCTTACATTAACACATGTATTCTTTCTTTCCTTGCATGCACAGAAACAAGACATTCTTAACCAAGTAAGACATTTTCTTTTCTATTAAATTCTGTCTTTTCTTTCTTTATTCTGATGTGAGCTATGAATTTCTCATCCATATCACTGTGCTGTACTTCTGTACCAGTAAGAGTCATATAATATGCAAGACTGTCTGTAATACTTATAAAGTTATAAGTGACTGATATTTGCTCAAATTAAGGTCTCAAATGGAACTGATGCTTTAGGAGAATTGAAAAGGGTCCAGAGCATAAGCTTCAGTTTTGTAGTCTGTTGAATTTAATTTTCTAATTTCACCAAAAGAGAATCAGGCTCTGCTCAGATCCTTTATTTAATGAAAGTCTTAATTTATTAATTTGCAATGGGAAATTTTGAAATTACTTTTAAATGCAATTGATAAGGGCTTTTAAAAAATTGGTCTACAGTGCTGTTAGAATCTGTGGGGAAAATAGAAGGGAAAAGCTGCTGATTTTTGCTCTCCTGGAAAAAAAGAGTAACCCGTCTGTTGCTTCAGCCACTCTCTCCTGGTAAAGTCCATTTTGTAAAGCAAGTCTTATGTCCATAGTTCAGTTGGGCGCATAGAAGTACAACACGCTTTTGAGTTCTCTATATGGATTTTTCTATCCTACTAGGAATATATCTTCCTAAAATGCACGAGTTGTCTAAAACCATAATATTATCTCCCTTGGACAATACTGGATATATACTAGTTGCTTCTTATTCCCAAGTTTCCCTATTGCTTCAGGGACAAGCACTGTGATTTCATCCTCAACATGTCCCAGTATAATTACTTACATCAGAATGATCTTGACTGCCTTAGACATTCATCCTACATATTATAGTCTCCTAGGATGAGGCACAGCTGAAATGACAACTCATTGACTGCAGATTTTTACTAGTCTCTTTCAGAGAATGGCCTTTCCTTGATCTCATCCCTGACCTGGGTGGAAACCTATGAGCTTCCCCAAAGGCAGTCTACATGGGTTTTCTGTTAATAGAAGGCAGCTCCTCAGAGTAAACAGTCACTTTTAGGAAGTATGCCCTGGCTTTTAATGGGCATTTGTTGAGCACCTTGGTCAACAAACACATCATTCTGCACAACCTGCATCTCTACTCCAGGCTGTCTGAAAACTAGTGTTGAAGTTAGCCTGTCTTTTCTTGGAGTCAGCAGAAGAGCTTCCACCTTCCTTTGTCTTATTCAGTCATTGTTCCGTATGCAGTTGTTTGGTAGGGAAGCAATTTCAGTAGCGGAGTAGAAAGAACGTGGAAAGCTGAGGGGTAGCCAAAGGGGGAAAAAAAAAGAATGAAGGCATGCTTATTTATTTGCCCTTTATGTGTTCTTTGTCTCTTACTGTTCTGTGAGTATAGGATTTTCTCTTTACATTTTCTCTCAGTAGATAATTCTTGGCTCAAAGCTGAGTTAAGTTTTCGTAGCTCCCTGGGCATACCTTATGTTTGTTCTCAGCACTCTGTATTGGGTTTATGTTAATGTGCGTACCTTTTACATTCAAACAAGTGAGTTGCTTCAATCCCTTAATAAGAAACGGTGGAGTTCAGAACCTACATTTTGTGGGGCTACTGCCAAACATAGTGTTTTAATGTCTTTAACAAGGATATACTGCCAAACATAGCGTTTTAATGTCTTTAACAAGGATATTGACACTGATACAATTATTAGCAATGATATAAACACCCTTTTATTGTGAGGTATAATTGTCCTTCCTGAACCAAATTCAACCCTTCACATTCAAGACAACACCTGGAAAGTATAACAGAGAAAATCTGGTCTTAGGAATCCAACTGAACTGAGTTCAAATCCCACATCAGCCACATATGAGCAAGTCTTGGGCAAGTTACTTCATCTCTCCTAGGCTCGGTTTGTTCACCTACAAAAAGAAGAGCCCTACTGAGTTGTTAACAGGGTTAAAAGCATTCAGTTCTAAAGTATAGTAAAATAATTATCTCTATGGTGTTCCACTGATGTTTAGAGTCAGTGGCTGTTGGTCACACTAAGCAACCAACATGATTCATATGAAAGTTCTGGAGTGTGTCTGAAAGGGGAAGGTGAGAATATCAGAGATACCCCAACCAATCCTGGGACCTTGAGTCAGAGCCTCAATTTTCTCACCTATAAAGTGAGGAAATAGAGCGCTGTAACTCTTGATGTCTTTTCTAACATTAATTTCCTTCTGCTGTGAGGTATGAGTGGAGGACATGATGGGTGATTTGTTTCCACTACCAAGCCTGGTCACAATCTAGAATGCTGTCCTGGTGACAGAGTGATGGTGTCTGTCGTATTGGCTCTACCTCCCACAACTGCGTAACTGCCAGGACAATGAGTTAGCGAGGATTAGTATGACATGGTGACCAGTATTTCAGCTTTACCTCCCTGTTCCTGTCAACACAAGTTCATCTTGTTTTTATCAAACCTACGACCAGAACACAGTTTTGAAAACATACCACCAAATTGAATAATAAAATGCCTACTACAGTTCTGTGTTATTAACCTGATATTGACTAGGTATGAATTATTGTTGAAAAATATAGTAACTTTTATTTCAGTATATGGTCTTGAGTATAAGTTGTTATTCAGAGAATTGCTCTGGTGTAGAATGGAACCATGTCTAACACTTCGAGAAGATACTTGCATAGATACTTACGAGACTAATTAGTTATGTCATAATTAAAGAAATCAATTTGAATAGCTCCTTGCAGGTTTCTAGTAATTGCACTGAGGATCAAATCTCAACATTCCCCAAAAAACACACAGTTTTGTATCTATGAAAACGTTTAGAATTTGAGAGTGGACCATCTGCTACATCTTATCCTAAATTGAAAGCTTAGATTCATGATTTGACTGCTTGAAGTGGCCAGGTGACAATCTGTCACAGTTGATCTATTTCTCCCCTAACTTTCTATACCAAACATACAGAAATTTTCAAATAGATAAATATTTAGGGTACATAAAATATGATTATACTACAGATAAGTTTTCCCTACAGATGAATTTTAAAAACAAGCTTAAACAATTTGAAAAATAAATTAGTAACTCTCCTTAGTTTAATGATAATAATATCCAGCTTTGAAGTTTGGTATTTAAACGTTCTGTGTAGATTGTTCTATCATTCCTTTCATCACTTTTATTAAATAATTTATATAAGAGTTGAAAATCAGGTTAGAGAGACAGTGATGCTAGGATCTTCAGGGATCCTTTCGCACTTTTCCAAGGACAAATCGAACAAACTCTTTAGGTGTTTGCTCCACCTGAAGCTTATTTTTCAGATTTGACTATTGTTGTTTGTGTGTTTTCACCATCCAGAATAGATGGGTTTTTTGGTTTTTGGTTTTCTTGAGCCTAAGGGCACTGAAAGTTATTAGGGGAAAGTAAATCTGGAGATTTTTGTAGAAAGGTTTAGAGTGTCTAAGTATTTTAAGATTTTTTAATGGGTAAGGGAAATCATAAATAATATTCTAAAGTTCATCAAGTTAAGTTTGCCATTTAGAAAAATACTTCTAGAGCCAATGTGAACAACAGGCTTGAGTTAAAGAGAAGACCAGGTATGCGTTACCGAAGCAGTGCAATCAAATGACGGAACCTGGGGTGGCAGTGGGGATTGTAGTGGAGCTGGGTCCAAATTTAGAACATGTTTCAGATATGTAGTCAAAAGTAATAGGTTACCCTTAAAATGTCAAAAGGCAAGGGAAGAGTTTCAGTCAATTCAGAGTTTTCAAGATTGTGGAATTGAGCAGAGATAGTTATGCCATTACTTTTTATTTTTATACTTTTATTTCCCTTTTCCTGAAATGTCTAGGTTATTGATAGACTAAATACATTTGATAGTGACAAACTAAACACCTAGTTGTTCTAGGTGTGAATATTGGAAAATCAAAATCTGTCTATAAAATTAAACTTCGATTAACTATAACATAGTAGATTTTGAAGTTAGAAATATTTAGGTCCTTGGTGCTAACTAGGAGTTTTTGATGCTGGGCACTTGACATAACTTTCCTGAGCCCCAGCTTCTTTGTCTATAATATAGGATGATATAGCATTATACTCACAGAGTTATTGTGAGGATTAAAGGTACAATGTTTGTACACATAACATACTTGTGTAGTTCCTAGAACACAGTAACATTTAGACAGCATTTCCATGATATGTACCAAACATTTAAAATGAACATCTAATTTCATTTTTCCATTTATGGATAATAGAGAATGTCACTGACTATAAAGATTAAAAGGAGAGATTGGAGGCTTCAAAAAGGAGTTAGGCATAAAAACACCCACTAGTGAAAGATAAACGTATAGGAAGTCAGAAGAGCATTTGGAACAGAAAAAAATTATTGGGTTGCATCCCAAATGCATTTATGGCGTGTATATTGTATACTAGATATTGTATGTAGTCCTGTGGGAGGAACAGAAATGGTCAAGATGATCTTTGCTATCAAAGAGTATCAGACTAATAAATACATTTTACAAATTGCTGACAAAGGCTTCAACTCAAGGAAATCTTAAGCCCCTGCAAATAATTAGTGGATTCTCTGACCCAATTGTAAAATCTCAGTCTCTCACTCTTACATGTTGGCTAAGTGTTTTGTGGTCTTCTACATTTTCTCATTTTGATGTTTCTTCCAGACCTAACTATGGTAGATTTGGGTCTGGATGGATTAGAAGGAATAGAATTTATGAGAAAAATATATATTTGAAATCGTTCCAAATTCTTTGTTATTTTGTTATCATTAGTCTGGTTGATTTTGTTTTGTTATAACCTGCTGCAATATTAAATCTATAGCTGTACACTAACATACTTTAAAATAATCTCATTTGAGCTTAAATGAAATAATATATTCCTGATGGGAAGTTTTTTGTATTGATCATATTTCACAAATTCTTATCATCCCATCTGAGTCAATTTTCTTTCTTGCTAGATTTCCTACAAAGAGGTAACAGAGTGAATTTTTTTTTGTTCTGTTCTTGTGTCCATACCTCAAATATATAATGAAGACCTCCAGCGTAAAAGAC